TGTGTTGGATATGTGTGGAGTACATGACAATACCAGTGCTACTTCCTGAAGAGTATTGCTAGGCTTTGCAATCTGATTTAGTGATATTATAAGATAAACTATAAGAGGAAAATGTAGATGGAGATGAAGTTCTGAAATATGTTATTAGGGAAATAAGAAATGTTTTAAGACTACAGTACTAAGGGTTGCACTTCCAAGGAAATATAATTTGGCATATCAGTATCTCATTAAACAACAGTCCAAGTGAATGAAAAATAAGAAAGACCATAACTATCAAAATTAAAAATCAAAATGTCAAAAGAAAGACTGAAATATTTCTTTTCCTTTCATATACAGGGTATTTTCTCAGCTATTAAGAAATTCATACATTCAAGGTCTTTGACAGTATAAAAGAAGCCAGAATCATACGGACAGTTCAAATTGTAAAAGGTTCAAATGTCTTGGTCATAAAAGAGATAGAGCTAAATACAAAATTACTAAAATAAGGAAAGAAAATGTACAGACTTAAAAATCATCAAATCCTGTGGTTTATTCTCTCTAATCTTACTCTTAATCTCTGCAGTGCAAGCAGTGTTTGGAAAGTTAAATTTACATTAATATATTTATGATAGTGAGCACATGTGGCACCTGGCCTGACATAAGCAATATTTTGTTTAAGAACAAAAGGATTTTCTTGTCACTGTTGTGAAAAACATTTGTAAATACTTTATAATTACTAAAATTTTGGAGTATTCAAACATGATTATAAGCATGTGTATAAAAAACAATTATACAAATATGTATGTCTATATGTAATATATATATAATCTATATATACATATAAATACACATATACTCCCATATTAGGACATACACACGCACACACAAAAAATATGTAAAAGTAAATCCTAATTCCATATATTTCTCTCCTTAGTTTTTTTCTGAGATATATTCCAACTTCACATTATCTGAGAAAGGGGGAAAAAAAGAAAAAGAAAAAATCAGAGGTTTTCTGAGAAAAAAAGGACCATCTTTATTAATATCCTCTGGTATGAGAGAAAACTTATCATCTTTATATATCATAAAATTTCCTAATTTATATTTCTGTAAGAATTTGGGTGGCAAAATAATCAATTCATTCTTTGGCAAACAAGGGCCTAAAATGCAGAAAAATAAAAACATTTAATTAAAAAGAAGGAAAATTGAAAGAAACACGCTGTACATTGAAGATTAAATTTTGAACATTTAGAATGGGAAGTTAAAAGGAGGACAAGTACTCATAATCTCTTAACTACCATAGATTTACTGATATGTAAAAAGCCAAACATAATGAGAACTGCTTATATAATAATAGATTTAGGAAGTTAACAATACACACAGCTTGAAATTACAACCCATAAGGTTTATGTGCTGCTTAAACTACACATCTTGTTGATCTACACTACAACAGCGACCAAAGAGAAAATAACTATTACTAAACACATATAACTGAAGCAAAATGTAGAAAAGTATTTTACTTAGGGATGGGCTTAGTGAAGGACTTCCACTACCTGATAAGATGTTTATACTCTGAATATATGTTTTACCTACATGTATCTATACCATACTTATACTTGTGTTCAGGATGTGATTTCTTCACATATATACGCTTACTCACTTTATGTCCCTTTCTTTCTCACTCTCTCTCTCTCCCTACCTCTCTTTTCTCTTTTTTCTTTCTTTCTTTCTTTCTTTCTTCCCCCTCTCTCCCTCACACAAGGACACCTTCCTTCCTTACCCCCTATTTCTATTACCAACACTGCTGCATAAGTAGCTATAACTGACCCACATGAAATATGCCCTACCTCCTTTCCCAGCATAATCAGCATCTAAAATTGTTTACCTCTCCCAAACACATACAGTATAGTTCCTAAGCAATAAAATTCTAGATATTACAAGGCATCAATTCTCATTCAAACCATCAACTGACTTACCATCTTGTTTCTTTTACTAATTACTTCTTACTTTATTTACAGTCACAAATACTTAAATTACACCTTTTCTGTCACTAACTACCTCCTCGCTCACTCATTCTCTCATTTTACTTCATTTCTTTCTTTGTAAATGTGTGTATATGTGGTATTTGTATGTTTGTGTGCTACTGATAATTATTACAAGAACCACCAATAGTCGACAGCCATTTATGTTATTCTCTGGTAACCTTTTTGTCACTACACTGTGTTTAAATTTGAGTTCAGTTAGACCCAATTTTGAACACAGTAATCAAAATTCATCTACAGTTATTTTATATAGGGATCAAGTATTCACTACAATACTACGATTAGCAACTCTTTAAGCCATAATGTACATTTACTTCAGGAAATGACAAAAAAACATAAACTTCTTCAAAAAATTTACATGTAGAATCTTTAATTTACCAGTCTTATCATTATCTACATGAATGGTTCATCATACTGTACGTGTAAGACAATAATCTGAAAGACGTTAAATGTACAACAGCTCACACACGTACGTGGCCATTACCTGCTTTAAATTCGCCCTCACTGATATTATTTATCACATCTGTGGTGAGCTCTTGACACCAGTTGTTAGATTTATTGCAACATAAAATATGGTAACATCAAAACACTAAATGAAAATATGTCCCATTCCTTCAGGCTTCTTGCAACGTCTCTTACCACTTTGTATCTCTCTTTATCAAATTACATTCCAAAATCTAGCAAAGATTTGGACATTGCACTAAAAGCGTGAACACAGGGACTTCTGTCTATTCTCTACTAAAGAGTCCACGAATAGGATGACCACAAGCCATTAGGGCAGATACATGGATAATCTTTAACTTCACAAAGATCATGACCCAGAGGAGTGCAAAGAATCTTAGGTAGGAGTGCTTATATCATCAGCCCCTGACTCCCCCCAATAACCCATCCTGAAAGGACACTTGTAATCTATGGTGCCATTAATTCCAACCCACTTCCGTATACTGAAAATGAAGTGTGCTCCAACAAGTGAATGTGAGCAGCACATGATAGGACACTCTGGATTACAAGCGCTCGTTCCAGTCCCAACTCAAAGCTATGCCATTTCCTCTCAGCATGATGATTCCACAACTTGAACATATGGCATTGCAATGACTTGATTGAGGGGAGTCTTAAACTGGGGTACAAGGAGTCAGTCAGCGGGGAGGTTAGGGTTCCACTGCCGCCTAGAGGGGATGCCCACTTACCCTGTGCTTCGTACTTACTGGAGAAGTTGCGAGTCGCCAGCATTGTCGTCAGGATCGCACCCTGCAACACGGCAACCAACGGTAAGGGCTTGACAGGAGGAGGATAGCACAGGGTAGGAATGGAGAAAGAGCTGGCAGGAAATAGGGTTGTTCAAAGAAAATGAAATGATACAAGGTGATATTAGGAGGAAGAGGGCTGGACAGCAAGGAGCTCAAGGGAATTAAATAGAAAGCCTTAGAGCAGGTTAGGGTGAAGACCAATCAATAAGTTTATTGTTTGAGGCAATACGGTTTGGGGTTATGGACAAGGATGTAGGTGTGGAGAATGTTGGCTGGAGACCAAGTACCCAAGATCGCAGATGGAGCAGAAGTGGTCAGTCGAAACAAAATAAGCATCACACGTGTTAAAAAAGTAGTAAAGGTAAAAGACAAACCGTGATATGGAACAAAATAAAATACAGGACAAGCCAATGTTAAGTATCAAACCTGTATATCACAGTCAGAACAAACCCTACAAAACCAAGCTAAAGATATGCAGGTTTGATATTACACTGGTCTCATCTGTTTAATCTTGATAAAATCAAACAGATGACTACATAAGCGCAGATCCAGCAGCAGCCTGTAAACCCAGAATATGAAAAAGGTGAAGATGGGCATGAAAATATCATGGAACAAAGTTAAGGAAAGAGGAAAACTGGAATAATGTTAATAAAAAGATACAAACTCGGAAAATCTGATACAAGCATTCCCACAGACTTACTAGAGAAGTTGCACGCAGTGGCAAGCATGGTCGTCAGGATGGCGCCCTGCAATGAGGCCACACCAGATCATGAACCACAGTTACACAGCCAAGGTAAGCACAGACAAAGGAGAAGAACAACTTGGGGAAGGGAGAGATAGGCAGAGTACGACCCAATGAGGCTATTGTTTTTCAGATTCTTTTTCTCCTGGTTGTTGAGTTTTTGGTGAAACAATTTGTTATATCCTAAGGAGTTACATAGTTTGATTTTGAAATACTTTCTCTAAGTTTTAACTTCCTGAACATGTAACTCTAGGATATAACCCATAGATAACTGGTTCTCTGATACTTTTTTCTTGAACAAAGCTGCTTACCTGCAAGACTGTCACAAAATTTGTTACAAGCACTTTAGATTATGATTTTTTAATTAAGTGTTTAAGGTACTTTTATATGCCATTTCTCCCGAGACACAATATCATGCCACTGATAAAAAAAAAATAATATCCTGTTTTTTTTCTTGGGTTCACACTAATCCAACAAACTCTTCTCCTTTCTGTTAACTAAAATAGCATTTGCTTACAACCTCCTTTAAATCAATGACTAAACAAGTCTATCTCTCTTTGACATTCAGTAGAAATAGAGTTAACTTCAGCAAATTACAATAAGTCTTAGGATTATCTTTCTATTTCTGCAATTTTCTAGATATAATCTAATATCTAGGAATGTATACAGGGTATTCTTTTGTGTCATATCATAAAACTGAATTTCTTGTTGGGACACTGGTCAACTGCATCTAATCTATTTCTCAATCTTGACTTCAGCCTATATCAAAATGATGAAGCAAAAATAGTAAATAAAATATTTTCCTTTTGATTATAAGTTGTCTTTATTACAATTTCATCTGTCTACCTTTCACAAAAAGAGCAACATTCTTTAAAGATCTATAATGCTTTTGTAAGAAGCAATGGTGATAAACTCAAATCATTCCTTAAATGTAAAAAAAAAAAATAAAATGTAATTTGAACTATATGTCAATAGAAACTTTTCTATAATGAATATCTTAGCTTCCTCTTTCCCAAGTCTATTTTCCATCAACTGTAAGACAGTCTTGTTCAAATAATTTTGTATACTTTTTAAAATCAATGTCATGTGAAAACCATTACTTTTAATATACTGGTGGTTACTACAATTTAGACTATTGAATGAATCACCAGTTATGTTTGGAAGATGGCTCTCTTACCTCTAAACTTAACAGAAAGTATTTTTTTTATCTCTAAAGTTTGATAACTCTGTTACTTATGATAATTAATAATACATATTCAATGGTTTAGTTTAAAAATGACATATGATAGATGGTTAGGACAGTAACAATCATCATATGAAGGTTTTCACACTTTAAAAGTGCATGCTAACTATGTCAACCCTAAATCCTCCATAAAGCCTATATTACAGTTGTCACTTCTGTGTCCCAGAGAACTATTCTATCTATTTTATGCACAGAAGCTTATGTAATGAGACTGCTTTCCTATTACTCTACATAGAGGAGCTTTCAACAAGTCACAAAAAAACTTATCGTGCTACATATAAACATGGTTCAAAGAGGTATTATTTCTCATCTTTTGCTGAAGTCATGTCAAGCTAGTAGTCATTTGGAAGTTGTAGCAGCAAAGAAATCATATGATTATTTCTCTAGTATTCAGTGAATCCTTCAGCATTCAAGCCATCTATAATATTAAATGATATACTTGATCATTAAACAAAATCAGTCCACATCTCTATGTGCTATCCTATGCAATAATGACTGAAAATAACCAAAAACACTAAGCTTTCTAGTTTATGGAATTTGACAAAAAAGTCCCGTTTTATAATAGAAAAACAAACAAACAAAAAAACTTCTTTAGATGAATGGGTTATGTGGGTCTTATTGCTAACTTGCCAATGAATTGGAGCTTTTGCAGGAAACTACTGCATGGCATTCTGATTTCTGGGTATGCAGAGCAGCTTAAGCATCATTTTTTATCATTCAGTCACCATGGAGAACATTCATTCACACTATTAATTATTGGCACAAAACTTTTTTACTTCCAATTCAAAACACTTTCATTTCTCTATTCCATACAGGGTGCCACTAGTTCAAAATTTGATTTTTTCCTACATCAGATGAAGAACTCATTTACATTAATGCCTTTCTTTTAAGTTCCTAACAAGGCAAATTAACTGCTAAAAAACTCATAACTCAAAAGCTTTTCTCAGTTTTCTTCTGATCTTATTGCTGTCTTAAATCCTTTGTCAAATATGTCAACAAATAATGTTTTTTTTCTACTGAGTCATTTAAAAACTGGTTCATTTAGATTACAAACAAATATCTTAATTTTACTGTCACTTTGAATTATCTAACAGCAACATGTATGTCAGGAAAACTATTGGAAAGACTAAAAACCCTTCTTCAAGAGGTACCCTTTATTCCCTGATTAAAATTAGCATTTTTTAAATCATGAACTGTATTCCATGATGCTTTCCTTATTCCCTCACACCAATGTCTAATATCTAGCCTACTTGCTCTACTTTAATAGCCATTTCATCACTACCACTCAAAGGCACTATTCCTTCCTAGCACTGATACTGCTGCTCCACTGTTGAATACATATACCAAATTAAAGAATAAATACTCAGTAGCATTAAAACCAGATAACCCAATTTTTAAAAACTTATAATTACTCTGATATTTATATGAAAAATTATAGACTTTACACAATGGAGTTGAAGTTTGAATTTTATTTTCTATCTGCAATAGTTACAAGATATTGTGTATATCATATCCATCTAGAAGCCAAATATAAAGATCTCCTTTTTTCCTTTTTTTCTTCTTTTTAGTGTATATTAAAAATAATTCATTATCTTGCTTTTAACATTATCTCTATTATTCAATTTCTTTAATATGAAAATTACATTACATTCTTAAACACAGTTGTAATACACTTAGCCTACAATGATACTCCTGTGAGAGCGGTGTCATGATATTCTGTTCCAAGAGCAATACATATATCAAAGTGGTCTTACCTTTAGCTTTCTTCTGGCATTGAATTTTCTCAAGCAGTCGACAGTCTCTTGCCTGTGCACCACACTGGCTACACGCTCACGTTGCTAAGGGGAGAAATGAGAAATGTTCATTATATAGATGTGTACCACTTTGATCCTCTCTGTGGATACATCTCTCAAATATGTCAACAATTAATCATCTCAAGACACATGACTGTCATTCATTATTATTCAAATTCATATATGATTCATCTCCACATCCTTTTAATGAAAGGAAATCATAAAATGTTCCTAATTACAGCTGCAAAAAATAGGGAAGTTAATAGGAAACATGTTTGAACAACATACGCAGATCCATGGGTGCTTCAGTGCTTCAGCAGCAGTAATACGCTTGGCTGGATTAACAGTCAACATTGAGTTGATAAGGTTTTTGGCTTCTGGAGTTACCGTGTCCCATTCTGGTGATGGATACTGGAAACAGTAATATATCATTAATTTCTGTGATTGTGTCATGATACAGTGAGATGATAAAAAAAGAGTAGTAAAAGAAAGTAGATAATGAAAATATGAGACACTATGATACTGTTTTTTTTAACAAAAGGTAATTTATCTTATAATTCTCTAAACATAACAAATATCATATTACAAAATAAGAATCACTCAGAATCATTATACAAAATTGAAATATATCAAACAAAGGATTTAGCCTAATGCATGTATAAACAAGTCATATATACTTATAAACTGCAAACCTATCAATCAGTCAATTTATCTATCTATCTCTACTTACTCATCTCATTCTCTCTAAACAAACAAATCCTCCAAATAAACTAAAAAATGGTCTAAATTAACCTAAATTTAAACACTCATGACCAGACAGTAACCACAACCCCTCCACCCCCACCAGAGGCTCCTCCAACCCTGCCTATCATCCGCTGGTGAACTTACATCATAAGCTCCAGCCTTGATTTGGGCGTATAACCTATGCTGGTCCTCATCCCAGAAAGGAGGGTAACCCACCAGGAGGATGTATAGGATTACACCTGTGGAAAAAAGGGTTCATGAGAATTTGATAGAAGTGAAAGGTAAAGCAAGATATGTGGGCTTAATATCAGAGATATATTCAAGGATAGACAGTAAATGCAACTGTTATTCTTGCTGTTAAACAATCTTGAAACTGACTTGGAAATATGATGTGAAGGATAGTGCTAATATTGCTGTAATTCTAAACCTAGTGTTGAAATTTAAATATTAAGTCTCTCTCTCTCTCTCTCTCTCTCTCTCTCTCTCTCTCTCTCTCTCT